CAATGAAATTGGCAATTATTGTTCTATTAATAAAACTGAAACATGCAGTCATACATGGCAAAGCAATGAATGAATGAATGAACTCGTAAAAAGAGCATCATTAACTACAGTATAAAATGTAATAGATTTCCCTACGGAATACTGGTCACTGCACACGTTTTATTTATTTACATGACTTCATCCGCTGTGAAACACAAAAGAAAACATTTTAAAGGTTTGGTGAATGGTCACTGAAGCATCAAACTTCAAAAAGGACACAAAAACACCACAAACTGACCATAAAGCTGGCCTTGAAGTGCCCTACACAACCTGTGTGATTAAGTATGGTATTTTTATGTAAGTTCTGAAAAGCAACCTTTGAGTCTGAACCAAACCAACTCTTAAATAACGTTATTGTGCAGGTGCAATAACTTTACAGTTCATGCTACTGTTACCCAGCAGCGATAAACAGAGGAAGTGAGATGAGCCAAAAACACATCTGTACAACAGTGAAGAAACAAGGGTTGTACTACATTACCAGTCCTAATCAACAGCAACATACTGACATATATGCACATATAAACAAACCCACCTGTGAATGACTATCCCAACTTAACTTCAGATGCAGCTTCTGTGCCACATCTGTAAAGTAGCCTGTTTAGACGACGATGTGTGGGTCATACCATATGTTGCAGAAACTTGGTCACCATGAAATCAAAACTGACCGCTCAATTTTTATTTATTTATCCATGCACATCATTATTTTTATGTTTCTCCTTGTAATCATATATCAAAATAGCTTTGTGAGGGCGGAGCAACCTGTCACTCACATGAGATCCACCAATAGCAAACCTCGCTTGACAAAGATCATCATCAATTTTTTTTTTTCTCGTCTGCTAAGCCGTTTCACTCGGATATACATTGCAATATGGAAGAAAACCCTTTCGTTACTTTGGTTTCATGTTAAAATAAGCAAATGTTTTTGTTTATCGTCAAACGACTTTTGCGCCGTGCTTTACACCAGAAGTATTTCATCATATTATAGTAGATCGCAGGGCCCTTAAAGGAGTAGTTCACTTTTAAGCAAAACCTTTGCTGATAATTTACGCATCCCCATGTCATCCAAGATGTCCACGTCTTTCTTTCTTCAGTTGAAAAGAAATTAAGGTTTTTGATGAAAACATTTCAGGATTTTCTCCATATAATGGACTTCATTGGGAACCAAACGGTTCAAGGTCCAAATGAGAGTTTCAGTGCAGCTTCAAAGGGCTTTAAACGACACCAGACGATGAATAAGGGTCTTATCTAGCGAAACGATCGCTCATTTACTAAATAAATAACAAACTTTAAGTTTTATAAGCACAAATGCTCGCCTTGCTCTGTTCTGTGATGCGCGTTCGTGACTCTTCTGTTCAAACTCGTTCATCAAAATGAACAAATCTTTTTTCGAGTCATGACTCGAAGGATCCTAGATAAGACCCTTATTCATCGTCTGGTGTCGTTTAAAGCCCTTTGAAGCTGAACGGAAACCATCATTTGGACCTTGAACCGTTTGGTTCCCATTGAAGTCCATTATATGGAGAAAATCCCGGAATGTTTTCATCAAAAACGGAAGGTTTTTTCAAATAGTGCTGCTTTTTTTTTTTTAAAGTGAACTACTCCTTTAAAATGCTGTAATGGATTTGTTATGATGATCTGACAGAGAAAGTAAGAGGATGAAAGCACACTTACACAGTTCCAGAATGTCTCTCTTGGGCAACTGCAACACTCACAGGGCCGTAGCTAGAGGATTCGGGGACCCCTGAACAAACAGACCAGTTTTTTTTTCAAAGGCACATTTATAAAAACCTACTTAAATGTCCTATTGAACTAAGGCCTAATGGTCCAGTAATTTTATAAAAAAGATTGGGCAAATTGCAACAACAGCAAACTCAACTGATGTTGTCTCCTCAATATGTCCTATTGTAAGAAGGAAAAAGCCCAGGAGAATCCCATCAGAGGAAAGTTTAGAAAAAGACCCAAATAAAGCCTGTCATACCCTTATTCATTCTCTTTCTCACGTGAATAGGGTAAAAATGTGAACCTTTAGATAGCATCATGAAATTACTCACATCAAGACAAACCATTTTTTTTTAAATTGTTTGTTAACATGGGCAAACGGTGCATAATCTAATTATGTATGTGCTAATTTGCATAAATATCATAAAAGATCGAAACATTGGGTCTAGCCAGGTGAAGATATCTTGTTGAATCCTGTTTCTGAGGGAGTGGTTTCATAGAATCAGGAAGTGAACCGCTCGTTCAGAGGACAGCTGACAATAAAGGTGAAATTTATGAAAAATAAGACTTTTTAAAAAGAAAAAACGTGAATACATGTTATATCGCACCCCATAAACACAATCATGCAAAGAAAAAAAGCAGGGCCATATTGTAGGCTATGTTATCTTACTTTATTAGCCAATGACTTTGCTGCTGACCTTCGTTGATCCAGATCAACCATACTAAGCAAAAATGACTTTTTCACATTTGTTTGATTCATTGACATGATGTCTATGGTTTCATTTGTTTCATGAGCTGAAGTAGGAGTGTTGAGCTTTTTCCCCTGCGTCCTGAGGACTGATGGTTTGAACGGCGCCCTCTACTGTACAGCCATGGATTTGCGTCTGCACTTTTATTGTGAAACGGCTTCTACATTTGCCAGAAATAGTGTATTATTATTATTATTATTAGTGTTGATCATTTTACAGTGTACAAGGACAATTGTATGGCCATACCATGGAGAAAAAAAAGTATACTAAGTATACTTGCAGCCAGAATTGTCAATATATTTCAATTGATAATTGTGTGTGTTACTGTGTTATAATAATACTAATAATGTAATACTGTGTTAATGATTATTTGTGTTACAAGCACATTACAAATTCAGAGTGTCTTCGAAACAATAAGTGCACCTATAAGTGTAGGCTATTTATATATAGGCCTATTTGAATAAAAAGTACTAATACTAATACTAACAAATACTAATTGCATACACTCAATAACAACTGTATAGTCTACATTATTAGACAAATGAAACTTAGCTACTGTGTACAAAATACTAGTGTAGGCCTATACGATAATGTATTTTGAAAGTATACTTCAAATGCATTGTTTCAGTGATCATTTTACGGAGGCGTATTGCATTCACTTGAAGAAAAAAAATCTACCCTGTTTTTCTGAATCAATGAGTTAATTTTTCATGAGAAAAAAATTTTTTTCTCTGTTTTTCTGAATTAATGAGTTAATTTTTCATGAGAAAATATTTTTTTCTCTGTTTTTCTGAGACAGAGCAAAAAAAAACAGAGCAAAAAAAAAAATTCCATGAAAAATTAACTCATTAATTCAGAAAAACAGAGGAAAAAAAATTTCTCAAGAAAAATTAACTCGTTAATTCAGAAAAACAGAGCAAAAAAAAATTTCTCATGAAAAATTAACTCGTTAATTCAGAAAAACAGAGCAAAAAAAATTTCTCATGAAAAATTAACTCATTAATTCAGAAAAACAGAGAAAAAAAATGTTTTTCTCATGAAAAATTAACTCGTTAATTCAGAAAAACAGAGTAGATTTTTTTTCTTCAAGTGAATGCAATACGCCTCCGTATCATTTCCAGCACACAGTTAAAATATACCTCAAATATTTGAATAAAGTGCAAATAAATACACTTTTTTTCACAATATATTTTTCTGAAAAATATATTTTCAGAAAACATAAGCACAATTATTTTAAAGTTATTATGCTAATATACTTCAAATACCCAAAAGTATCTCTTTGACAAACTCTTTGCCATGCCTGTCTGTCTTTTTTGTTTTGTTATTGCATCGCAAGCTTTGCACAATGAAAGCAATCTCTTCCTCTGACTCGTTTAAAATGTGTCCATTCTTGTTTTAAGTCTAAAGGGTGTTGATTATGCATTTAATTTCACACATTTAATTAATCGTTCCCATACCAAAAAAAAAAACAACAACAAAAAAAAAACAGGAGTAGTATTGTTATAATAAATATATATATTTATATTATATTATTTATATATATATTTCTGAGCACCTAATCATAATTCTTGAAGAGATTCATCCCAAACTGTCCATTTACAATCTCGTATTATTACAAACCTGTATATTATTCTCTGAAACACAAAAAGAGAAAAGGGACATTTCAATGTAGGATTATGCTACTGGATATTAAAAAGAGAAATGGGATCAAATGAGTGCTCATTTTTGTTAAGCCAATTTAATTTATAATTATTAATTATGTCCTCTCGAAACACAGTTCCCTTTTATCCACAAGGGGTCACTGTGTGCGATGAAGCTTGTAAAGTCTGGCCTGGTGCCATAACACTGTATTTTAAAATAAAAGTTTTAAAAATAAAACTTGTGCAGAGTAAAACGAGCATTTGTGATGGTTTATAACAAATAACCGCCATAGATCTCAGATGTGGCTTCTCAAAATGCCTTGTTTAATATGAAGAGCGTAATATTGCAATTATTATTTTTTTTAAATGCAGCAATTTCTAAAAATAGAGATCATAATATTGATAATTAGAGGCAAAACCCCAGCCAAAACTGACAAGATGCTTGTGAAATACTATCAGCCCGTCCTGTTGTAACTTCTTGTAACCCCACACACACTTCCGACAAATATATCTCGTCGTCTATGTGTAACCCCTGTTGTCAAATATCTCTGTCTGTGTGAAATGTTGATTAGCTTTATAACGCAACTCGTTTGCTTCGTTTCGTTTGTACCCTCAGGAAGAGCAGCAGTCTGAAGAAAGCGCTAACAATAACCTGTAACTCAATAACATCACCCCGCCCTCGCGAGAGCATAGGTGTCCTCTGTCTGCACACCTGATGATGAGTTTACCTCAGATAAGCAGCACGAGCTGGCGGCGTGAGCGGGAAAACCGGTACAACTAGTTCCGCTCGCCTCGTGCCTCTTTGACCAATTAACCACACTGTACTTGAAAATACAAAACAGCAGACAAAACGTGTTGGAAATATATTTAATACAAAATTCTTCAACGAACAAACACACAAAATCTACTTTGGTGGCTTAGTAGCCTGCGTTTTTAAAATATATCTTATCAGTTCATATTAAGAAATTAAGTCGTCTGCTTCGCACCATTACCATTAATAGACGTTTGTAATGAGAACGAAAGTGTTGCCTCTTTTTACAGTAACTAATGACAACACTGATCCAAACCTGGTCCTCAAAATGATTATTGTCTCATTACTTCACAGTGGTAGGAAATCAAGTTTTAAGTCACCCAAAGTCGCTTCGAACAACTTTGGGTTCATTTTTGTATTAGCTCGTCTTGAGATTTGAATGCTTTTATTTATTTATTATTATTATTTTCTCAGTGATTCCCGTCGAAAGAAAACCTTAAGGCAACCGTGGCAATAAAACATTTAACAGTTGGCAAGCCAGAAAAAAAACTCAATTGTGCCTTTCTAATTAAAAGAGTATAGTTCTCCAAAAATGTAAAATTAACATTATTTATTAACCCTAATGACGTTCCAACCCTGTATTATTTTCAGCTTGAACACCAAAAGTGTTCAATTACAGTTAAAGTCGATGGTGATTTATACTGCCGAGCTCCACAAGAGAACAACACATCATACTTCTACTGCTAAAATCCATATGACTGAATAATATGTCATATATTATATTACTTTGCAGTCATATATATCGAAACGTCCATTGTGACTGGTCACAACACACCCAACAATCCACCACATTAAAACTTCTCATGGGATTGAGACAACATGTAGGAAAACCGTTTGATGAAGATGTCCGATCTGGTGGGAGGCGTCTAACGCCACCCTTTCTGGAATTTAAAGTATGAAAAATACAAATTTGTGAACTCCAAAAGAGAAGTATGGTCCTTCGTGTTGCTTTGAGGAGACTAACAGTACGTAAAAACAGAAAAATGAATGACATGAGTGAATAAGTGGGATAATTCCCGAGTGGATTCTACATTCCTTTACGTTGTTGTTTCCACACGGCTTACTAAGAATAGCGCGAGTCGATGCTAACTGAATGTGAAGAGCTTGAGGGAACGGAGTGTGTTAGCAGGCCTTTACTTGTCCTGTGACCTGCGAGGAACCACCAGCAGGAGCGTTGAGGCATGTTCATCTGATACGTCCTCTACTGACGGCTAAAGTGCTGCTAATCCAATTCCTGCAGGAGATCTACCTCAAACAACACCTCCAAACGACCCTAACGGTCCCGAATGATGAATCTGCCCATCAGGCCAACAGCAGTTTGACTGTCACACCAGAGAGGTTTCATCAACCACACAACAACGAGAGCCGACACATACTTAGAACAGGTGCATGACCAAAAATAACATCCGGGGAGGACAAAAGTATCGCACACCGGACCAGAACCGAATGGGTTACAGCTCTATTGGTCTACTATTGAGTCAGTGTGCTACTTTTTTCTTTTTTTTAATAAAGAAAATGAAGGCCATTAAGATTTTTCTGCATTAAAACTCAACGGTTAATTTCCTTATGATTTTGATCGGGTTCAGTTTGATAGATTCAGCGAGGCAAAGTCAGAACGAGAACCGGTTTGATCAAACGTGACTCGCTCGTGTCAATCTCTGAGATGAACCGACAGGACGTGTGTGACGAGTCTAATTCTCGTTTGTACCGTGTCAGCTTGGACGTCGATGATGGATCGAACCTGAGATTGAGTATATGGGGGTTCTTAAAGAGGAGATTATTCAAAAGCAGCAGGGCAGTGACATTCGAGGCACTTTCCACATGATCCTCTCAGTGTTTATTAATGGGGCGGAAGCAGAAATGGCATTGATTTTGAGTCACCTGCACATGTGACAGGATCGCATGACCAATAAAAATATAGCTTTCTATTCAAAACATCCAGAATGCACACTTTTAAGAAACTGAACCCAGTACAGTTATTGCGTTATTGCGTATCGTTTAAAGTGCCGCAAGATAAATGTTCAAGAATTAAAGGCCACCTGGCGGTTTTATTCAGTATCTGTTTTTCGAGGGAAGGACCGCGTGAATGGAAATGTCACTCAGGATCTGAACACGTGCACCGCCCGCACCACATACTGTCGGCAGATGGGACATTCGCTCATGCGTTTGCCGCACTTTGTGCATGTGACCATGTGCCCGCACTCCAACAGGACGCAGTCGATGGGCGAGTCCATACAGATCTTACACAGGGAGTCCTCCACCGCCGTCCCAGATCCGGAGTCTGTGTTAAAAAAAGAAAAGAAAAAGGAAACTTTTTTTTAGGAATTTGGCACATGCATTTAAAAGGAGTAGTTCACTTTAAAAAAAAAAAATTGCTGATAATTTACTCACCCCCATGTCATCCAAGATGTCCATGTCTTTCTTTCTTCAGTCGAAAAGAAACATTCCAGGATTTTCTCCATATAATGGACTTCAATGGGAACCAAACGGTTCAAGGTCCAAATGAGAGTTTCAGTGCAGCTTCAAAGGGCTTTAAACGACACTAGGCGATGAATAAGGGTCTGATCAAGCGAAACGATTTGTGATTTCAAAAATAAATAAAAAAGTTTAAGTTTTATAAGCACAAATGCTCGTCTTGCTCTGTTCTGCGATGCGCGTTCGTGACTCCTGTTCGAACTCGTTCATCAAAATGAACGAATCTTTTTTCGAGTCATGACTCAAGGGTCCTAGATAAGACTCTTATTCATCGTCTGGTGTCGTTTAAAGCCCTTTGAAGCTGCGCTGAAACTCTCATTTGGACCTTGAACCTTTTGGACCCCATTGAAGTCCATTATATGGAGAAAAATCCTGGAATGTTTTCATCAAAAACCTTAATTTCTTTTCGACTGAAGAAAGAATGACATGGACATCTTGGATGACATGAGGGTGACTAAATTATCAGCAAAAGTTTTTTCAAAAGTGAACTACACCTTTAAACTCGATTAATACGATTTTTCCTTTTCTTAAACTTGAACCGAAATAAAATTCACTGATTTAAACCGTCAAATGCATATTTGTGAAATCCACCTGCAAGCATATAAATTATGTGAACTGTTGACTGATTTAATTATTCATAGTTTCACAATAAAATGGACATAAAACTCTTAAAAAGTTAAATGAACATTTTTTTAGAACTATTCCTAACTTATGAAGTCATAAGAAATAAACCCACCTGTGCCTTCTATGGCGGTAGACACTGTAAAAATAAAACACAGCCCACGTTAATATAATCAACAGAAAACATACATTCAACTTTTACATTTACTTTAGAAAATGAAGTCAGGATACAAACTAAAACACCACTTAGATTGAAAAATAGCACACACACAAAAAAAATAATAATCCGGAGCCCTCATCCTACAGCGCGTCCAATCACATCAGACTCTTTACCCATGTTCTGCAGGTCCTTCTGGTCGTGGTAGAGACGCGTGACTCTCTCCATCAGTTCCCATTTCTCACAGCACCCCTTGTAGTCGACAAAGTTCCTGGCCAGAATCTCCTTCAACTGCCGGACACTCAACGCCTCAATATCATCCACTGATCTGAGGTCTGAGAGGGACGCCCGTCGCCCGGGAGCCAACACTTCCTCAGAGTCTGAAGACTGACAGAACAAGAGACGGAGTGAGTGAGAGTACGCAAACAACGGGTTTTCTTCAGCTGATCATTCCACCAAAGTCAAAGCCAACTTTAGAGAAAGAGGACCTGGTGAATTCCAGAGAATTAACGCGTGTCAGAAAACATTTTACTTTCACTTTACTTAGCGTTTCGCCACCTAAAGCCACAACAACACCACAATATAGAGCTGTGGGTCTAGATCAGGTTAGGATTGGATTGGATTGATTTTTATTTAAAAGGGACCATGTGCAATTAATAACATAAATGTAAACATTTGATGCATTACACCAGAGTTAGCCTTAGGCTAATTTACATCTGCAGTCCCCCAGAAAAAGCTTGGCCAACATAAACACGAACAGACACAGCACAAACAGAACATGCGCCATGCTAAGATAGATGCATAGGGAGATCACAAAAACACACAAGGATTACAGCAAGTTTGATGAACTCCACATCCTGCTATAATGCAAACACTATATGCTAATGCTAGGGTAGAGATAACACGCTGAGTGGTTCATTTACATCTACAGTTTAAAGGTCCTGTGTAGATAACTTCTAAACTTCAGCCTTTTTATTAAGCTAAGGAGTGGTATTGTGCGTCACATGGTAAACACGGCACTTATTTTGCTCAATATAGCACTTGAAGGGCAGATGACCATCTGTGTTTGACCAACAGACTAGAAGTATAAAGAGACTATGGGCCAGATTTACTAACAGCTTGTGTAAAAGCAAACACTCTTTTGGAGTAAAAACGACTGTCAGGATTTACTAAATAACACTGAAAAGGCGTTATGTCTCAAACCAGACATTAGCGCTGCTCTTGGTAGAGTGTGTTGCTCATTATGGAACAGATCCGGCTGCGTCTGTTCATTAATTTGCGCATAACTTTCTATCTAGCCCCATATGTACAAAGAAAAAGGGGCAAAGGGGGAAGATGAATGAAAGTCTTCGGGGGTTGGAACAACTTGAGGGCGAGTAATTACTGACAGAAATTTCATTTTTGGGAGAACTATCCCTTTAAATGTCAATACGAATTTAAAGTGTCTGCTTATTTTTAATGATTATTCGTTGTCTCAGCAGGATGTGGCGGTTGTTCGGTGTAGTATTTGGCCCACGCCTCCTTCACTGTGATTGGACAGTAGGGCTGCCATTTTTGTCAAAAAAAACCCTGATCGATTTGACACATAAGTGTTCATTGAATCAATTGTAAAATCTATTTGATTTGTCTAAAGACGTTTCCATTTTAGCCAAATATAGGCAAAGGCACTGACACCCAACAGGCATTAGGACGAACGGAGGCCTAAAGAGGGCGCTTAAGACGCGCACAAGTCAGCAATATTTCTGATGTTTTATTGACATGAAACGAGGACGTTCTCATTCGTCTACTTCTTGTTACCGGCTGCTCACCGCTTAGGAGTTTTACCGCCACCTACCGTATAAAATGATGATCCATATATAAGGCGCTCCGGATTATAAGGAACACTGTCGTTTTTTGAGAAGATTAAAGGCTTTTAAGTGCACCTTATAGTGCGGAAAATACGCTAATTGAAAAGCGTATGTACAGCGCGCATCTTCCTCTGCTTGTAAACAGAAAGTTTTGAGCTTCCAGCTATATCAGCACATCATCTTATACTGTAGGGGGCGGTAAAACTCCTAAGCGGTGAGCAGCCGGTAACAAGTCGAAAGAGAACGTCCTCGTCTCAGTTCTCGCGAATGCGCCCATAAGGAAGTAATGGAATAGTGGAATAAAGTCGTTATTTATGTTTTTTTTCGCACAAAAAGTATTCTCGTCGCTTGATAAACTTATAATTGAGCCGCTGTAGGCACATGGAATATTTAAACCTTTTCTTTAATGACTTTATGGGCCGTCAAGAGCCAGTCCCTTAGGTAGTCTATGTAGGACTGATCCAGCTCTCAGATTCAATCAAAAATATCTTTATTTGGGTTCCGAAGATGAACGAAGGTCTTACGGGGTTGGAACAGCATGGGGGTGAGTAATTAATGACTTCATTTTCATTTTTGGGTGAACTAACCCTTTAAGACGCGCACAAGTCAGCAATATTTCTGATGTTTTATTGACATGAAACTTCGTGCACAACATTCTCGAAAAAACAATAAGCAGAGTGGACTGCCATAACATCAATGAAAAACATTACTGCGGGATTCAACATGGCTTTGTTTACGATTAGAATTATTATTTCCGAACTCCAGCGCAAATGAACCTTTGGTCTAATAAAACATCGGTACCTAGTCAATCGTTCTCTGAGATTTGTTCTCATGATGATCGAATATAAAGAGTTGGTAACACTTTATTTCGATAGTCCACTGTAGACATTTTACTAACTATAAGTAACTTTTCAACTACATGTCAACTAACTGTCATTAGAGGATTAGTAGATTGTCTGCTTAATATCTGCTAACACTTTATTTTGTTCGTCCCCCAACAGACATTCAACTGACTATAAGTAAATTGGCGACTACAAGTAAACTTATTCTCCTAACCCGAACCCTAACACCTAACCATAACCTAACAGTCTACTGACAGTCTACTATAATATACTACTTCTCTAATGAGAGTTAGTTGACGTGTAGTTGAAAAGTTACTTATAATTAGTAGAACGTCTAAAGTGACTATCGAAATAAAGTGTAACCAAAGAGTTCTATCTCTAAAAACTGTAATGAGGGCATTTACTAAGTAAAAAGAAATCGATAGTTAATACCACTAACAAGGCTCAAAATAGCCCCACACTAACACAGTAACATAATGAGGGTCCCTACATGCAAAACAAAGCATTGAAAACGTTGTAAGTGCACAGACTGTTTAATAAGAAGATACTTTATGTCGACAGTTCACTTCATGTATACAGACAGGAGCCATCTTATAAGTCTCGTCTCCATAAGTCGATCCCCGAACGCCGTTCATACAGTTCAGATCACTCAGCACGACGTTCGTGGTTTGACTTATCGAGTCTGTTTTCCAAGATGGCTCCTGTCTGTAAACACGAAGTGAACTGTCTTTATAAAGTATCTTAAAGTCACGCTGCTCCCGGTTTAAAAACACGGCGCTCCCATTGAAAACAATTGGACAAATACACTAGCCTCCGGGGGAAAACCGCTTTGGTGGACCACATGGCCCAATAGTTTGAAAATAAAACAGCTAAAAAAGAATCCATTTTAAGTTTTGTTAATACGTTTTTTTTTTTTTTTATTGGCAGGTATTTTAGTAGGATTAGTAGGCTTTCAGTATAATATTAATATTATTTTTTATTAGTAGGTCTTAATTTTCATGTCCATTTTCCACGTTCTCTCTGGGCGACATTTAAGAAACACCCTTCACATGTGAAAGGAGCGACAGTGCTCACGTGCCAGCGTCATGTGCCGCGTGTGGTTTCTCAATACCAGATTGATTGTTCTTTTGAGTTCTTTCAAAAAAATGGATCGATCTGGTTCCCAAAACTGGTCTGAGGGCGAATAAATGACAGTATCTTCATTCATCCATGAACTATCCCTTTAAGATGGATTGGCGTGACAAGAGTAGGACTTGAAACTTTTAAAGAAGCAGTGATTTATCCCAGCCTGTAGCCAAGTGTTTTCCCACGCACACATGGAAGACGCTCTTTAAACAGACTCTACTGAGGGCAGCATAAATCAGCAAGAGGCCGAATCTTTTCATTGCAAAAGACTGACAGAAAGACTCCCAGGCGCTGATCTCTGCTCTGCCACATTTAACGCCCCGGACGGCGCAGCAGAAAGAAGAAGAGGAGAGGTGAGGAGTTTCAGGATGTACCTGCATCTCCTGCTCCACCTGCAGCTCATCGTCCATTTCACTTTCAGCTGTCGCCTCAGCCAAGCTCTAAGGGTCAAAGGTCGCAGCCAACAGTTTAACACAGCTGTGCTCTCTAACTTATATTTCATACACTCCCTAGTGTGCTTAAGAGACCAAGTCACTTCATTCTAAAGCCGTGCTTTAGTTTACAGTGCCGTGTGAAACAAACCGAGAAGAGAAGCACATGCAAGGGACTGTGAGATGGATTCATTTTATCCAAATCCAAGCACATGACAGGTTTCTTTTCTTTCTGTTTTAAAATAATTTCTCATAACCTAGTCTAATCTAATGTGTAGAGACAAATACGAGAAAACCTTTTTCAGGTTGACTTCCTGAAGTACACGATCAATCAAAAGTTGAAAGGCTCACAAAGTCTGAATCGATGATAAATTCAGTAAATGATATTGAAAAGCTGAATTCAAGTCTTCAGTGTCACGTGATCCTTCAGAAATCCCTCTAATATGCAGATCAAGAAACTTTTTTATTACTAATGTTGAAGACCGTTTAGCTGTTTAATACTTGAAACTGTGATACACTACCATTAAAAAAAAAAAATTAAAGAGAAAATAACACTTTAATTAGCAAAGCCACATACAGTTTATCAGTAGTGACAGTAAAGACATTTATAATAATTCAAAAGTTTTCTATTTCAAATAAATGCTGTTCTTTTGAACGTACAATTCATCGAAGGATCCTGAAAACTGCATCACAGATTTCACAAAAAAATATTAAACAGCAAAAACCTGAATATTGATAATACGAAAAACAATTATTAATAATTGAGCACCAAATCAGCATAGTAGAATGATTTCTGAAGGATCATGTGACACTGAAGTAATGATGCTGAAAATTCAGCTTTGACAACACAGAAATACTTTTCATTTTAAAAGATATTCAAACAGAAATGTTATTTTAGATTGTAAATGAGCCAGACCGATATTATCGGCCGATATTAGGCATTTTCCATAATATCGGTATCGGCAGTTATAATGGCCGATAAATGAATATTTAAAAAATAAAATAAAAATGGACGAAACACGCTTCGATCATCTCTCTTTGGCCTGTTATATTGAAAATGTATGTTTTGCAGTATGATGTTATCTATTGCTAAATTATGGCTCATCATAGACTAGCTAACCACAAAGCTAGCTAATGCCACTATAATCAGTGGAAGGCCGCTAACGTTAACATTAATGAGCTTGGAAACCACAATGAACTTTTTCTGCCTAAATAAAGTAATGATTACCGTATTTATAACTAGCATATCTCTAGTTACAGTCCCTGCATTGTAAAATGTAAGTTATACTTGCGAGGAGTGAACATTTAGACATAGAGAAAAAGTATCAAACGTATCTTGTGCAGAAAAGTTCGCTTTTCTTTTACACGTGTGTGAAATCCAACATTATTTAATGTAAAAAATAAAATAAAAATATCGGCCGATATATCGGATTATCGGATTTTAAAACCCAAAAATATGTATCGGTATCGGCCTTCAAAATCCTTTATCGGTCGGGCTCTAATTGTAATGTCTCACAAATTGACTTTTTACAGTTTTTGATCAAATAAATGCAGTCCAGGTGAGCATAAAAGCACTTTTTGAATGTTATGCAGACTGTTTTTCCTTTTCGTACCTGTGCATCTTCTGTTGTTTGAGCCTGAGGTGCCAGTTCTGTTGTGCTGTTGTCCTGCGACAGGTTTGCTGTGCTGAATGGAGCGTAAGGGTCTACCTGCGGGTCCAAGCGCGTGGTTATTGGGGGAGGAATGTGTGTGTCAGACGGAGGTGTCTGTTGGCCGAGGACCAGCTCGACCAGCTCCTCCTTCTCTCGGCACATCTGTGTGGGGACCCCGTGCAGGTGGAGATAATCCCTCAGATCCTTCACCTTCAGCCTCATCAGCTCAGCTCGCTCGTACAAGATCCCACGGAAACGCTGGCAGGTGTGGCACAGCCACGGCTGGGCGTCCAGCTGAGCGGAGCACTGGCTGCAGTAGCTTTTCTTGCAGTCCATGCACATGTGCTGCAATGAACAATGGGAGGGTGCTTTTTAAAGCCAGGTTAAGACTGGAACACCATCTCACATCTTATTTAAGGAGTGTGAAACACCATTAAGAATTTCACAGTTGGCACAGGCATTAAAGGGTGTAAGAACTGGGTCAAAAGCTCCACTCTATTGACTGATTCTAAGCAGATGTACTGTTTGCGTCATTACATCTGATAAACACTGAGGCCGAGTTGTACCGGATAATGCCAAAGCAGTCTGGGAAGTTTCTTCAGGGAATATAAACACATGACTAACATAACTTCTGGAAGTCACAATGCCATTCAGTCTATGTACACACTGCAAGAGCTGTTGGCTCATGTCCCGATCTCATTTCACTACTTTCATGTCTACATTACTGTTAAATAAACGCAAAAAGAGACAGTGATGACAGTGACGACAGTGAAGGATGAGAGAGGACCAGGCCTGGGACATTTGTATGAAGGACTGCCACTTAACCCTTGTGCTGCATTAGATTAACACCGTTGAGTGCATTAAGGACCAAAAATGGCCACATATTAAACATTGCCTAAAAATATTATATATTATTATTATTTTCCACTTTTACCAAGTTAAATCTTTTAACCAGCATCAGTCCTCATCATAACTACCAAAAATGTATTCAATTTCAGGATTTTAACCCTTTAATTACCAGTTTTGTTTGCAAAACCATCGATTTGTATAAGAGGAAAAAACACAAAAATTCAATTATTTTCAATAAACTAAATGCAAAGAAAAAACTTTAGATTTGGATTATCACAGTCCCACTTTGCAAAAAATCCCACTTAGCGCGTTAGAGACCAAAAATGGCCACCTATTAAACATTGCCTATTGCCTAAAATAAGGTGCATTTCCACCCATAGGGAATAAATATGTAGTGACGTCATCTGGTGGAATACACTATATAATGCAAATATAATAATGCTTTTGCTTCAAAATGAAAGGATGTTTGTGCAAAAATCATGTTTCATGTATTACTGACAGCCTCAGATTTAAACAACGTTTTAATGGGTTTCAATGGGCCATTTTTGGTCTTTATGGTGCTGAGTGTTACTATTTGATCTACACAGTGTGTGTTATACATATTTTGCAAAATGGGATCACATTTTTTACATGTATCCAAAAAGTCACAATTTTGCCAAATTTCATACCATTTGCATTAAAACAGCCAAAATGGTCAAAGAAATTAAACTGCAAAAGACCAAAAATGTCCCTAATGCAGCATAAGGGTTAACTTTCATTTTGTTGTTTATTTTGGTCATTAAAATAATGTTGAACGTTCGTTGGTTCGATTGTTATACTCAAATTTCAGTCTTTATTTCACTTCAGGAAAGGGAGGAGTTTCAATTATTATATTTAGATTAATTTGAATTTCATTAAGTCGTCACCTTTTATAGTTTAATAAATCACCCTAAGCATATTGCGATTCCTGTTTTTCTGTCCCCAAATTTAATTAAGACTTTTCCCCCCTTCTACCTTTAAAGATATTTAAGACTTTTTAATTGCCTTAAATATGATTAAACTGAATTTAATACTTTTTAAGGACCGGAAGGGACCCTGTTATTACCTGTACAAAAATCGTATCCGTGGGTGTGCAGGTTGAGAAATTGTTCCCTGTGTGAGATTCATTCATTTTAGTATGTAGGTGGAGTGAGAAGGGACTTCCCTGATCCTTGAAAGTGGAGTGACGTCATCAGGGATTACTACTATTTAAAATGAGACGAGGCTGATGGCGGCACTTCTATTTGCTGGAGCGATACACACTTTGACTATGTTGACTTCAATTTTTGTTTTGTTTGTTTTAGCTGCCCTGCTTATTATCTTATGTGATCTATCGTCTGTGATTTCTTATATGATAATCCTTGTCTTTTTCAATGGTTTAAATGAGCTAAAGGTGGTTTTGGACCATAAAGGTGATGATCCACAGGGGAACTTCTTGAGCAATGTTGCCGTCAATGGACAACCAGATGAGACACGGTGCACACAACCGATCTAAATAATCCAGATAGAAATGTATTGCCCATTTTCAATGGGAAAGTGCCCAAGCAACAAATGCTTTAGCAAGATTGCCCAGCAACATCGCTCAAAAAGTTACCTTGTGTATCATCACCTTAAAACCCACGCATTGAAAAAAAAATTGCATTGCTAAACATGGATTCAGAATGCGGCCTCAACTTCCGGTTCACACAGACTTTAAGGTCATGACACAACGTGACCTAGTTTTTCCAGTTTGTTCCCACCTCTAGCACTAGTTGGACCCCCGTCTGCTGCGTGAACAGGTGAAGCGATGAAAGCCACTGGTTCTTTGATGTCGGTTTAGTGTGTCATGGCTGAACGTTTGCAGGATGTCTGAGGCTGGTACATGCTTCTGCAGAAGCCACACATCAATGGATTTTCAGCTTAATTTATAAGAAACTGCTTTTGAGAACCAAATTACTGGTGAAGCATACCACTACCCACAAACGTAAAATGAAGTCCTATATTGTGTTAAGAGTAACCATTGTAATCCAGTGGAAACTTATGCAGTTATATAGCATCTATCCAACTAAGGATGTCACATTACCAAAATTCCAGTAGTTGGGACCGATACCATTAAATTTTTACGAATCTCGGTACCAGCAAAATTAAACTATTTTATAATTAATTAAAAAAAATAATAATAAGAGTTGAAGACTACGTGCCGTTAAACAAAAATTTTGAGAAATACTGCTTATAGAAAAACAAAAAATCGAGTGAAAAATAAGCAACCTTCTATGCACACATTATTATCATTATTAGTCGAGCAGTCGTAGTATTTTTATTTAAAGTCGGCATGAAATCAAATTTGACAAATCTTCTTTTTATATGTAATATTGTAGTGGTTATTGTAAATAATTTATCGGTGCACTTCATTATTTTTTTTTAAATTCATGTACCCTTGAAATCTTTAATCAAATACATTACACTTCCCCCCACTATCGAAACGATCTCTCTTCTCTTTTGCTCACATGGATTGGCAAAAGGGTGCGGCCAGATCTGATGAGGCAGCGGCTATTGGTGCATCTCCTCTCAGAGAATCGCATTCAAATTGTTTGCAACGCTCAACCTCCAACGATCCAATCAATTCCCGAAGGATGAAATCTAGCCCTGCCCATTATTTTTCCTAATTTCAGAAGCCGTTTCACTTGTCATGACAAGGAAAAAAGGACAATCTCAACTTTTCACGCCGACTTTAACAGAGACTTTAATTTTGACAGTTTGCTGTGTGAAGAACTTTGAGTTTCTGTGCGTGAATGATATGACGATAGTTTTTCTCAAATGAAACGGCAAAATGCTCATGAAGTGACTCTCAGAGCGGCTCTGGAGATGACATCATCATATCGTGAGACAGCAGAGACTGAAAACAGAGCGAGCGTCACTCGTGTTTCAGTGTGTGTGTGTGTGTGTGTGAGAGGTAACGTTAAATGAAACCGCGCGTCTGCGTCGTTCATTCACACAGAGACAAGCAGACATGCAGGGTTCATCTTTAAACAGTCATTTTGCAGTTTAATATACACAGACACTACATCAGCAGCGAGGACGCAACTTCAAGAGGAAGAGGACGCAACTTCACGCCTTTTGTGAACGCATGCGCATCCAGAACCGGGTTTGACCGTGTACTCAGTACCACCGGGATTTGGTATTGTGACGTTTAAAATTTACTGAAGTCCTAAATATTTTGACAACACTATCTCCAACATTGGTTAATATGGGATGTTGAAAAGAAAATACAACAATTTTATGTGTTATAATTGGGTCTTCATCCATTTACTGATTTTCAAATACTATGTCTGACTTAGAATATATATTTTTTAATATTTATGAATGATGGTGCTATGGCTGGTTTGGTTCAAGGCTTAGAAACTTTTTTTTTTTAAATGTTTATCAAAGATTAAGCTTCTAGTGAAAATATTAGTGTTGGGTGATATTCTCCATAGTCATTTTGTGCTATCGTCAGCCACGCCGGGCGGGGGTTGTAGAATAGTTGTCTCATTTGATCATTTACTCAATTATTTAATTAACTTTGTTTTATAATCGTGGAGAATGACTATGTTACTATCATTTTGTGAGCAAAAATGGAGTATATGAATTCAATTAAAATGTATTTGTATAGTGCTTTTCACAATAAACATTGTTTCAAAGCAGCTGAAATGTCATGTTGCAAAAATATTTCATCCAAAAGGCCAGCCCGTGGATATGAAACATGCAATTTGCAAACTTTCCACGAGTTATACCGTTGAAGGAGTCTCAAACCACAGACAATTACTCCCTGAAAGTGAAAGCAAAAACTTACCACATTCTCTCAGAGATGACGAGAGGTGAATCTATCTCCACATAAAATCTTAATTTACAGGCTTAATATTTCTCCAGCGTAGCAGACATTAATGATAGTATGCTTATATGTGAAGTGTGGATGTCGTCACATAGCAGATATCTCAAACTATCATTGTAACATGATACTATTGATCTCTATTCAGAGAACAATACTGGATCTACTTAGTCTTAACCACTATTGAGTCTATGAACTGCTTGCTTTCAAACATCAAAAACTTCAATCCAATTAAAAAAAACAAACACTGGAAACCTGATCTCATTGTTACTCCCTGTAATTACTCTTTTGTAAGGTGCATGTGCAGGAATTCCATGAACGTGAATTGACAATAGCAGCACTGCAGTAAGGAACTGGCACAATGGCCATGACATCGATACGCGCCATTGTACTGTCACTGGAGTTTACAAAGTGCATTCTGGACAACTCCCCTCATGAGGCGAGCAGAGTAGTCACGCTCCACACAATGACTCCAGTCACTAACTCAACGTGTACGGTGGCTATAAGCTGTAGCTTGAGCCTTTCCCTTATCTGTCAGTGACATGAGGATGACGTTAAAGGCAAAGCATCAACAGGATTCCAAAAGGCACCAATAAACGCACATTACCTGTACAAGTGCTTCACCAAATAAATGTATCCCACTGCTAAAGCTAAACATTACAAGGTGGATTTGTAAGACAGTTGTCTGAAAATTAGTCGTGTCATATGATTACCTTCCTGGCGAGGCTGTCAAAGCGACCTCCACAGGCCTTGCATGTGTTTTCTGGAGCAGGGGGTGATGGGTAACCGCTGAAGCCTGAGTTTGTGAAGGTCTGATGTGGTGTGCTACTTCTGGTGTTCTCCACAGTGGGATCATCCAGACCGAGCCAGCCGCAGCAGCTGGCCCACATACTCCACACCTACTGCAAGAGAAAGAGAGATGCTTAAGTTACACCTTAAATTAAATCTGCTCAGTCTTCAAATAGAATCAAACCACCTTAGTCCTAGAAGACAACGGATGCACTTTTTCAAAAAAGTAGATTGGTCTTCTCGTATCAATACCCTTGGTAGTGAATTAGCGGCATGGAAAAGTTCTTCCAGCGTCAGCCAGGGTGGCTGATAAGCGCTCGGCTGGAGTCATTTAGCTGAAGAAGTAGGACTTCCATAATTTATTCAAAGGCTGTGTGCAGTCTAAACCACAGGAGCCGTGCAATACTCCTACTAGGTTGACACTGTATCTCCCTCTCTCACTCAAAGCCAAATAAAGGCTGTCTGATCCAGTATCACTACCATGGTTGTGTCTCTCACCATTTGGGCCCATTGTGTGGTGAATCAACTGATTAGTTTAATCACTCAAAATACTTTACACAAGAAAAAGAATTGGGTAACTCCTTCCCATAACCATTGTCCAAGGCGTACCGTATTACCATGATCACCCTCAGGATTTTTACTTCAGTAAGACATGCTGGTATAATGCTACGTTCACACCGGACGCGAATCGCGCGTCATATTCGCGCCTGACGCATCTAGTTTGACGCTTGACCACTTTGTGTAATTCGCGTGTCAAGAGCGAAACTGGCGCGCGTAAAAACAAAAGTTTGAAGCGAAATTTACACGCGTGACGCACGTCAGAATCGAAATCCGTTGGCGACCATTGTTTTTATGTCGACCGAGCATTAATCAAGAGAGTTACCGCTCTGTATTTACTCTGGAGAGCTAGAACAGCGGCGTGGGGATCATCGTCGCCCTATATTTGTGTCCACCGGACCCTTCGGAGCCGAACTGTTTGACGAGTTTCACCATTTGCTCACTCCAGGAGCTGCGCTGGATTACGGACGCTCTCAGCGGTACTTCCGCCTGTCACGCGCCCAGTTTGATGACATGTTGTCCCGCATCAGAGCGAGGATCACCCTCGCCCTCATCCATCTAATCTAGCTGTCATTTAATTTTGTTTTGATGATAAATAGAGCCAGCTTCCAAAAGTTATTAACCTGTCCTGTGATTTTCTCTCTCTCTCTCACGTCCAGACACGAATTTATGCACATATGTTGATTGTCTTTACAACATAATACTATTTCATATAATCTTGCTATGGAATGAATAACATTCAATACAAAATGAACATGTCTCGTATATCGAAATAATGTTTTAAGTGATAAAACATTTGCTTTGTTGTGCATAATCCCACCATGCATTTAGTCATATTAACAAAATAATTTATTGAAGCATCCAGACACTTCACCACGTGAACAAGCAGCTAGGCTCCTGATTGGTTAACGCGGCGCGAATTCACGCCAAAGTTCAGATTTTTCAACTCGGGCGGCAGACGCGAATTTGCGTCAAACGCGTGAATGCACAAATGGCATTAACTGAATCATTCGCGCTTCACGCGCCAGACGCTCAATTCGCGCAAACTTGACGCGCGAATGAGGCGTCTTCCGCGCCGCACTCACTACGGCTCATTCGCGCCGCAGGATTTTTTCACGCGCGCAAAGCGTCTTTGCATTGACTTAACATTGAAATCATTCGCGCCTGACGCGCTATTCGCGTTCGGTGTGAACGTAGCATAAGATAGTCTTGACTAAAATCCACTTGCAAACAAATATTAAAGGTTCTCTGAGCGATGTGGGGCCAAAACATTTTTTGTCACATACATCAAACGTCTCCTCACTATCGGCTAGCTGCCTGTCCCCTAAACACACTGTAAAAAAACGCGGTCTCTGTAGACACCACAGGCTCCACAAACGGCAACAAAAACAATCATGTCTCACCCGGACCACGAAACCTAACAAACAGTGTTCCAGCCAATCACTGGCAAGAAGTATTTGAGGGTGGGTCTGGGGGGTTAGTGCGCGTGCACATGAAGGGGGTGTGTGTGTGAAGGAGAGAGAAGCATCAGAGGGAAGTTTGAAAAATGGCCGACACACGACCAAAGAGACGTCGTTCTGAAGAACAAATTAAAAAGAAGAAGGAGTCGGATAAAGAACGTGCGAAGTTCCGAATTTACATCGGTAGTAGGGATGTCCGATACCACACTTTTTCACTTCCGATACCGATACCGATGCCGCACCTTTGGCTTTTGCCGATACCGATATTAGTCCGATATTTTTTTTTTTCGTGGTCCGACGTGCCGTATACGGCCCACAGGGTGGTTTATAGGTTTAACTTTGTGAAAGACAAAACAAAAACAAACACAAAAGTAAACATAATACATATCTTTGGAAAGCTGAGAAACTCGTGATTCGAACGACGTAAACCATTTTAAGATACAATCAACACAGCGGGCACAATCTGTCTCTTTGTCAGACCACCAACAGCCAAAACAAACCAACACAAAACTGGAAGAAACTCACCAATTAGCCATCTGTTAGTCCACATTCCAACAAAAATGGTTTGGTTTCACTGTAAAGCGTCCATACAATCCAATTTGAAGAAGTTTTTAGTCCAAAACAATTGTATATATGAAATAAACATCCATGGAATGTAAATAGTAGCATTTCGCGTTAGCCGACAGCGCTATCACAACTTCGACGCACTAATGCTACGTTCACACCGGACGCGAATAGGGCGTCAGGCGCGAATGATTTCAATGTTAAGTCATGCAAGAAAAATTCCTGCGGCGCGAAGGCGTGGAGCGCGGCGCGGAAGACGCGAATACGCCTCATTCGCGCGTCAAGTTGGCTGAACTTTGGCGTGAATTCGCGCCGCGTTAACCAATCAGGAGCCTAGCTGCTTGCTCACGTGGTGAAGTGTCTGGATGCTTCAATAAATTATTTTGTTAATATGACTAAATGCATGGTGGGATTATGCACAACAAAGCAAATGTTTTCATCACTTAAAACATTATTTCTATATGGAGACCTGTTCATTTTGTATTGAATGTTATTCATTCCATATCTAGAAATAGTATTATGTTGTAAAGACAATCAACATATGTGCATAAATTCGTGTCTGGACGTGAGAGAGAGAAAAAAAATCACAGGACAGGTTAATAACTTTTGAAGGCTGGCTCTATTTATTATCAAAACAAAAATAAATGACAGCTAGATTAGATGGATGAGGGGCCGGGCGAGGGTGATCCTCGCTCAGATGCGGGACAACC